CCTCATGTTATCATTAATTTGCAGACAGCCAGTTAAATATCTTTACCCAAAATCAAAAAGGAGATACGAGCACGGAGGTCAAACTCACTGAGTCACATTGGCGTCACTTGACGTTTCGTGATGTTTTTCCCATTTGCGGAGCTGGGATGGGCGTGGCTTGTGCATAATGCATCCGGTCCATGGGCTGCCAGTTTGACACCCCTGAGATAGAGGATAAGTAGCTAGCTGGGTGCTGTTAAGGGTCTGGATGGGGAAGAACAGATTCAAGCTGAATCCTAGCAAAATCAAGTGGATGCAGGTCCAAAGGCCAACTGAATGCAGATATGCAATTCTTCTTTAGTTCTGGATAGTGTTGTACTCCCCCAAACAAAGGTGGCATGAAAACTAGAGGTCAGACTGAACTAATGGCTCTTGCTTGAAGAGTAGATGCACAATCTTGTGCATAAATTTTGGCCATTCATAGGTCAGGAGATATTATGTAGAGTCATTCAAATACTTCTTTCCTCAGAGCTGGATGAAAGTAAATTGCCTAAATGGGACCGTTCTTGAAGACCACCCAAAAGCTGCAGCTGGTGTGTAGCATATAGCAATCCAGGTACTATAAGCATTCCTGGGCTTGTCTGTGTGACATATTGCTATATGAGCTGCACTGGGTGCCAGTTAGCTTCTGGTGCAAGTCAAGGTGCTAATTTTAAAGCCCTTTTAAGTTGCAAATCTAAATAGCTTCTCCAATTGATTCTGCCTACATCTGTCTGAGAGAAAAAGGATCCATTACTGAGGGAAGTGCCATTTACACTGATACCACAGTCTGGCCTTCTCAGTCATGACTTCCTTTCTGTTGAACAGCTTATTCCCCAGATCTCTGCACTGACCCTTGCCTGTTGGAGTTCCAACTAACTGCAGAAACATGGCTGGTCCAAAATGTATTTGGGGATACTGTCCATTAGCTTAATCCTATTGAGTGACACTGTTAGTGGATGTTGTTGCTATGTGGTGATATATATTAATATTTGTTACCGATGATGGAAGTTGCTTAGAAGTTTGGGCAGCAAGAAGCCCACATCATTCGTTCATTCAAAGGAAGAAAATGAAGGGAGGAAGGGAAGAAAGAAAGAAAGAAAGAAAGAAAGAAAGAAAGAAAGAAAAAGAAAGAAAGAAAGAAAGAAAGAAAGAAAGAAAGAAAGAAAGAAA